TCCCCCTCCAGTGTCTATTTTATAATATAATGCAAGGAAAACCAAGATTCAAAAGACAGCCAAGCATCTTAACATTATTCCCCACTTTTCCCCATTCCAACCATGTCTCAGTCCCTGTATCCCAGAGCCCTGTTGTTACAAGGATGTGCATACCTCATTATTTACCTCTGTCCCACTTAGCCCATTCAAACCTGCCTAATTGTTCTCCCATCTGCTTTGTTCTTCCATTTCCCTCTCCCTTCTTATATATTGCCCCCTCCTCAGCACCCAAACTATTCTGTGTTTATTCCCTGCCCTGTGCTCCACCTTCCTACCTTTTGCTCCCTCCCCTCACCCCACCCCCACATCCCAGCAACCAGCAAAGAATCCCTCCCTGCCCACCTTTAGTATGGGTTATTTTTCTTAGTCTTTTACATTAGTGGTCCTGTGTAGTATTTCTCCTTTTGTGACTGAGTAATTTCACTCAATAGAATGTCCTCAATGTTCATTCATGTTATGCCGTGGCTTGCAGCTTCCTTGTTATTTTTCAAGGTAGCATAGTATTCCATTGTGTGTGTGTACCACCGTTTGTTTATCCATTCTTCAGTTGATGGTCAATTTGGCTGCCTCCATCTTTTTGCTATTGTAAATAGTGCTGTTATGAACATCGGGGTGCATATATCTTCTTGAGTTATGGCTCGTATTTCTTGTAGGTAAATATCAAGTAAAGGAATTGCTGGATCATAAGGTATTTCTATTTCCAACCTTCTCAGGAAGTGCAATATTGCTTTCCAGAGAGGTTGGACCATTTTGCAGTCCCACCAGCAATGCAGGAGTATCCCAGTCTCTCCACATCCTCACCAGCATTTATTGTCCTCTACATTTTTGATCTTTGCTGTTATTGCTGGTGTGAATGATATCTCATTGTTGTTTTGATTTGCATGTCTAATGGTTGGGGTGATCATGAACATTTCTTCATATGTTTGTTGGCTGCCTGGATCTCTTCCTTGGTGAAGTGTCTGTTCATGTCCTGTGCCCATTTCTTAA